GTACTGTTCAGGAAGACCACTCGTGTGTGATGCTCCATCTCTCGATGAGGCAGGTAAACACCGCGGGCATTTTTGTTTCCTCTTTTTCGAGTTTGGGCAGTGCACAGTTGGCCGAGGTTCAGCGGCGCCACCGTTTCGTTTCTCTGTTGGATAGAGTCCCTGAGTGTTCGTGGCATTTGGCCACCAGTGCACATGCAGAACAGTTTGTTGCTGATGTTCATTCGCTTGCTCGTGAGTGTTTTCCCTGGCAAAAGAAAGTTTGTCGGCAACCCTATTTGTCTCCTTGGACTTGGGAGGGGGTTCAGCTCAGGCACCGACAGTCCAATCGCATTGCGTGCATTGTGAGGATGCAGATTCGGCTACGCAAACACAAGGCTTTTCGTGTTTGGTTTTCTGCCTTCACTCAGCGCCGACAAGTCATCTGCGCTGGTTTGTTGCCGTCTTTGCGATTTCTCGAGCAAGCTGTTAGTGATCTTCGCATGTGCCATGTTCAAGCCGTCGCTACTAAGAGAGCTCTTCATCCGTTGGTCAGGCAGGGTAGTTGGCAAGATCGTCAAGCTGAGAAACAGCATATAGCGGATCAGTTCCACCATGCCGCAGAGTAGGCTGATTACCGTGTTGTCTGGTCGGCCGTCCGGCCCCTCCTATAGGTCAAGCCTCTAGGAAGAAATCCTTTTCTTTTCGAGCATTGCCCGGGGTTTTGAAGAGCGATGGTACTTTGGCTGTGACCCAAGAGGAGGCATCTCTTAGATGGATGGAGCATTTTGGCAGTCTTGAAGCAGCTGAGATCATGGACTTTACTGATCTCCAGCAGCGTATTTTGGTTTTGTCTGCAAGCAAGCCCTTTGTACAGCCGTCAGGCTTGTCTTTGCAATTTTTGCCCACTTTAGGTGAAGTCGAGCAGGCCATTCATTCCGGCAAGTCCAAGAAAGCACCCGGGCCTGATCGGATTCCCCACGAGATCTACCAGATAGGTATTTCACGATTGGCCCGCCATATGCATGCACTTATCACCAAATCCTGGTTGCGTTTGTCTGAGCCAGTGCGCTGGCGAGGGGGCGAGTTGATTGCTATGGCCAAAAAGCTGCACGCAGGTTTTTCACCTTCAAGTCATAGAGGTATTCTCCTTGCAGATGTAGCAGCCAAGTATTCGCATAAGGTCTTGGGAGCTAAGCTGGCGCCTTGGCTTCAGCGCTTTCAACATGAATGCCATTTTGGCTGTCTCCCGGGTGCGGGAACTGAAGTGCCGTCCCTGTGGCTCCAGGCCTTTTCGGCTCTGGCCAAGTTTCGGACGGTTTCGTTCGGGGTTGCTTTCATCGATATTGTCTCAGCATATTATCGAACGATTCGGCAGCTCATTGTTCATATGCCTTCGAATGATGCTGAGCTGTGCTACCTTTGGTCTCATCTTCAGATCGATCCTGCCATGATTAATCAGGTTCGCACTTTGGTTTCGCAAGCTTCCGCTCTTGATGAAGCTCACGTCCCTCATGAATTGCAAAATCAACTGCGTGCCTTGTTTCGTGGTACCTGGTTCTTTTGCCGTGGTGGTGCCCGGATTGCCCACACACATACAGGAAGCCGTCCAGGCGATCCTATTGCAGATATCACCTTTGCCTTTCTCTGCAATCATTTGATGCGCCAGATGCAAGACTTCGGTGATCAGCAGCAGTTGTCCACAAAATTGCAGGTTGACTGGGTGTCCAGTGTTCCACCTGCGGATTTCGATGAGCCTCTTGTAGTGCGTCCATACATGACCTCTTGGGCGGACGATTTGGCGCTTGCTGTTATAGATGGTGACTTTGAGCTTTTGGGGGCTAAGTTACGGTGTACTTTGCGCTTTCTCCTAGATTTGGCCTTTCGCCATGGTCTTGATGTGAACCTTAAGGAGGATAAGTCCGAGGTGCTATTGATGCTTCGAGGTGCAGGTTCCCGGCAGCAGCGGCATGTCTCTTTTCATCAAGGACAGCCGACCTTTGTTGTTCCTGATACCCTCAAGGGTCCTCAAGTTTTCCGCCTGACTCCATCCTACGTCCATCTTGGCGTCCAGCACACCGAATCTGCTTCCATTTTGCCGGAAATACGCCGTCGTTTTCAGTCGGCTCGCCCGGTTCTGAAGGTCTTTCGCAGCAAGCTTCGTTCGCCAGCCTTGCATCGTCATGTAGACGCGACTCTTTTTCGCAGTTTGGTGATGTCACGCATTTGCTTTGGAGCGTCGACCTGGCCTGCCCTCAACATAGGTCAAACAAAGTTCTGGAATGGCCAATTGCACAGTTTGTACAAGTCACTGTTGCCTGCGCATCAGCGTTCTCAGCCCTTGACTTCTGTTCAGGTCGTGGCTCTGACTGATCAGTTGCCGCCGCCCTGGGTGATTCGTATTCGTAGGCTCTCCTTGTTTGATCGTCTGTGCTGCCTTGCGATTAGTGAACTTTGGGGCCTCCTCCAGGCCGGACATGACAACGCCTTAGGATGGTTAGGTCTCATTTTGCAAGATGTGTCCAAGATGGCTGATTTACTGCCCCGGGATTCTGAACTGCAAGCTTTGCGTGGTCTTGCGATCTGGGAACTTGCACGGCTTTGTCACGACTCACCCAAGTTTTTGACACGGTTTGCCAAACGGTGTGTCCGGGCCTTGCGCCTTCAGCTTCTGATCATGGCTGATCACTTGACCTGGCTTTCCCGTTTCGAGCGCCAGATGCAAGCCGCAGGTTTCACAGAATTGGCAAGTAGCAGGTCTGGACAACGTGAGTTTCTGGCCGCAAGCCCAATTCCTTGTCCGGATTGCCCTCGCTTGTTTGCCACATGGCAAGCAGCTAGCAGTCATGCCTTTCGAGTGCATTACAAGAAACATGTCGCCCGTAGGTATTGCTTCAACACAATCTGTGCTGCTTGCCACAAGCAGTATGGTTCTCGAGAAGCGCTTTTGATGCATCTTAAGTATACCAGGACTGGGTGCCTCTTGTGGTGTATTAGACATGTTCAGCCACTTTCTCAGGCTGCGTCTTTGGCTTTTGATACTTTGGAATCCCAGGCTAGAACTAAGCAGCTGCATCAGTCTCGCCATAAGTACTTTCGTAAGCCTGTGTTGTCTTTGTCCGTTTTTCCGCCGATCAAGTCTTTGTCGCAATCTGAAGCCATTCGGTCGGGCCCAGCCCAGGTCTTTCCGACTAAGGTCTTTGTCTCCGCAGCCATTTTTGCCCGTGTGGCTGAGCGATGGTGGCATGATGAAGACTTGCGGGAGCTAGCTGTCCTTTTGACTGGCCAAGGATACAGTGCTGAAGCGGAGAGCGACTTGCGTGAGCAGTTGCGTGAGGCAGCTGTCCGGAGTGGCCGTTTGACCAATTTTTTGGATAGAGCCCCCCTGTTTGGACCAAAGCACTGTCTTTGTTGGACGATGAGCTTGCTCCGGCCGATGAGGTTGATGCAGCGCGGGTCTTGGCTCATGCCACAGATCGGGCCTCCCATGCTGATTTTTTGGGTCCACCGGTCTCGGTCCGATTATCAGCGCTGGAAGAACATTATGCTCTTGGCCCAGCTATGAAAGCCTTGCATGTGCAGCAGCGTGATAGGCGGTGGCGTTTCACTTCTCAGGAGGTGCCCCGCCCTGTTTTTGGCCGCCAGGTCTACATCATACATTTGTATTCAGGTCATAGACGGAAAGAAGATGTGCATGCTCAGCTGGATTTTTTGCAGCAAGGCTCCTGTTTTGCAGTGACCGTCCTTTCCATTGACCTTGCAAATGGCTCATGCTGTGATGTTCTTAAAGGCCGATGTCTCTCCGACCTGCTTTGGGTCATACGAGCAGGGGTGGTGGCTGCCTTTTTGGGCGGGCCGCCGTGCGAGAGCTGGTCAGGGGCCCGGGCCCTTGTGGATGATGCGGTCTCTGACCGCCGGCAACCTCGAGTTCTTCGTTTCAACGATAGTCCATGGTTCAAGGCGGATTGTGCTCTGCCTGAGTTGACCCAGATGGGTTCGGCCAACCAACTGCTCTATATCGCTTTCTTTCTTTTTTGGGAATGCACCTTGAGAGGTATTTTGGCCGTCCTTGAGCACCCCAGGCGCCCTTTTGACCACCATTTAGGTTCCATTTGGGCTTTACCGTACATGGACTGGATGTTGCAACATACTGCTGTCAGGACTTATACATTCAACCAGGCTGATTTGGCGCCAAAAGCGTCAAGCCCACCACCCTTCTTCTTGCCCATGGGCAGATTGTGGTGGATCGCTTGAATGCGGATGCCATGCCTTACAATGCTGCTGACCTGATTCAGTTATAGGGGGCTATGACCGAGAGCGAGGAGAATGGCGGACGATGCAAGCCAAGGCCCATCCACCCGCGCTCAACCGGTCTTTGGCTAGAGCGATGCTGCGCTGGATTCAGGCGCGGCCCGTTGAGCAGGGTTTGACAGCCCCAGCTGGTCTTGCGGATGCCCTGGCTACCTATGTCTTCGAGGCGCCCACCCAGCTCCACGCGGACCACTCTACCGGGCCTTTGACACGACTTTGCATGCCATGAATTTATTGTTTCACGTTATGTAACGGAGTTGACTCCCTTGAGGCATTGCAATCAAAAAAAAGTCTACCGACGAACTCTCCAAGATCGGTCAGTCGTTTCACTCGCACTTCTCGAGCCTTGCTGCTCAGCCTCGTGAGGTAAAAAAGACTTCGATCTTGCGGGGTGCTGGGAATGAATGGTGCTCCAAGAAAGGTCCCATCAACCAATGCAGGGATGTGAGGTCAAATCTGATGTTCTGAGAGGCTTGCAAGATGCAACTTGCATCCTGAACTATAAACCGAGGCTCCTACTTGGAGCTGCTAGAGGCATCATGTTGGCGGCTGACACATTACATATTTTAAACATGTTCGTTGGAGTTGTTAGGGGTTTGCTTCTTAGCAAGCGTTTGAAGCACCTGCTGGAGCAAGCTACAAGAAGATTCAAAAGACATTTTAGGCCCTCCTCTCTAGTGGCTAACGCACCCAGTCCGTCAGTCCGCGCCCAGGAGCCGCTGGCCACCTGGGCTGATAGCTTGGACAGCCCGGGTCCTCCGCGCTACGAGGACGGGGAGGGTCCAACAGGAGCATGGTGTAGCCCATTAGCGAAAACAGAAAGGCCTTTGCTAACCATCATCATTCACTGTTACTGGTAATGGGATATACTCAACATGTGATACAATCTATCAAATACACTTGTAGTTTATGGATGTTGGGTTCAATCTAAACTTAAACAGCTCATATACAGCTCATATAGCACCGTTATGGTTTACCCACAACCAGAGGGTATTCATTTCCTTTCATTGTTGCGAGCGGAGGATGGCGCACCTTTTCTGAACCTCAAACACTGTTCAAGATCCAATGAAAACGCTCAATGGAAACATAAACATACATATATATATCCAAACCTTACTGCACGCTTGATTTATGTCACTAGCAGACCCTTTTGAATATGGGTGTGCATTGTCTCGACCAAGTGCGTATCACTACCTAGTACTGACTACTACTTGACAAAAGCCAAACTTGTGGAAGCGAGGTCTAAAACTGATTTTCATTTGAGGTCTAAGGTAGAAGCTGCAAATGAGACTGATCAGTGAAACTGTGAAACTGACCCTTTCTTCGTGCGAGGTCCCTTGTGATTGTTTCCATCTCGTTGGTATTTCACACATTCGCGTGACCCGTCACGCGAAAACGGTGATGCCCCGGTTTCACAGGCGAGTCCTGCAGCTGCGGCAGAGGTGTGGACGAATCGAGATGGCACAGCACCTAGACCGCTGCAATGGGTCGATTTGAAGGCCGTGTGTAGTCTGACCACGGGGGGCTGGTGCTGTTGTGTATGGCTTCTCAGACCATTTTCCTGTAGCCCATGTCTTCTACTGGAAGAGTTTTACACAGGGCCAATTGCGGGTGATGCAGGGTTTCTTTCCTCGACGGTGCAAGCTTGTTCAAGTATATAGCTCCTTGTCTCTTGGTTGAAGACTATCCAGGATCTAGCTCAGTGGCTAGACTTAATGTAGACTCATGATCAATGATATATTCGAAAGCCAGCCGATAGGCTAGGCTGAAGTTAGTTCTGCGAAATTCTGCGAACAAAGTTCGTTATTAGGTGCAGGAGCCGCCTTCCAGAGATTACTTCAGTGACCATATCTTGATTTGCAGTAAGTAGGAATGTTCTTGACATGAGCATTTTTTGGCTCGATGGTTTGAAATTAGTCTGTCCAATCGTCGTGTAATTACTTATTTAAGTGAAGAGGTGATGCAAAGGGCACCATCCAAACCTACTGGCGAAAGGACTAATTGATAATCTAAGCTTGACTCTTCCAGGTGTCTGCAGGGTCGAACATGTCCTTGTGCCTCACATAAACTTATAGGAATTCACTGCAAGATGGCACACGTAAAAGTGTACATTTGTGCCATGTTCACTATCTGCAAGATCGTCGATGGGTATATGATGGGTATATGAAGGGTACAGTAACTAATAGATGGCACACAGGATGTAACCCCATAAGAAAACCAGTGAGCAAAGGAACATAAAGATGGCACATGGGAGGAGAGATTACAGGAAAATCCATGGGAGCAGTGGAACATAAAGATGGCACATGGGAGGGGGGGTACAGGAAACATGGGCTGTCATGATCTGCAGAGAACAATCATGAAAGACAATGCAAGCACATAAACTGTGCCGGTATATCAATGAAAGGTGCAGGGAAGGACAAGGCAGGAAGC